TCTGCCTATTCTGTTTCCCCTGGGGTTTGTTTTGTTTTGTTTTGTTTTGTTTTGTTTTGTTTTGTTTTGTTTTGTTTTTTCATGCACCCTCAGTCTGGCTAAAAGAGAACATTACAGTAAAGCAACATCCCAACAGAAACTTTAGAAAAGGACCAAACTACTGAAGGTATGTATACCTCGGCAATAGTTTACCAGTGAACCAGCCATCTCCCTATTGCTAGTGTGTCTTGCAGTTTGGTTTTCTTTCCAATTGTCCACGGAGAACACATGATGAGGGGGTAGAAGAGGTAAACAGAGACATCTGTTCATGCCCATTTCTAACCAACACAATCTCCCACTCAGTCACGGGGGAGAGTGTGGATTCTGACAGTGAGTCAGAGCCAAAGGGAGGTGGTGTGAGAGGTGGCTTTGGTTTGGTCTATGGAAGGAGGCAGCTGTGACTCAAACACTGCATACTGATGAGCTGGAGCAATTTCTCTATTTCCCTCCTAATTAAAGTGGGGTTTGCTCCCCAACCAGTCTGCTGTGGGCTGTGTGTTGTACTCTGTGGCTCCAGTAAGCTAAATGCTCTACTAAAAGGAGGTGAAAAGTGCGATCCTCCTCAGAAAGAGCAAAGCTACAGAGTGCTTAAACTTAATTTTCTTCCCACTCCTTTGCCTCTTTCTTTTCTCCAATGTTGTTCAGTTGTGGAAGATACAGAAGCTCTGATTTAAAACTGAAAACAAAGTGACCAAGCTCAATCATAAGATGTGATAAAATATGCATCATATGCACTATCATAGTGAAGCTTCTTTGTATCTGTGAGATAAGAGAAGTACTGATGGCAAAAGTTTGTCGTACATGTACTAGTCAATAAATGAGAACTCTACATAAGAATACAATGTGCACATAATTAATTTACATTTCTAGGTTAATAGCTCACTGGATAACACCACTTTCATTTGGTTGGGGTGGCAATGGATAAATATGCTACAAATCTACTCTTGTAAGCAGTGTACAGTAGGAGAATATAATCGATATCCTGTGTAAAAAGAATTCATACATACACACTGGTGCCTCTTAAGAATATGCCTATCATCTCTGAAAGCTCTATTTTTGTTATGGTCCACTAGGCTCTAATTACAAGTGTTTCCTAGAATAGTTCTAAAAATCACTCATTATTTTGGTCTTATTAGAGGGAGATGATTTACAAATGTATTCGAACAAACTGGCAGAAACCATTTGTTCTTGTTTCTAAGCTGACAACAATATTATTAAAATAAATTTATTACAAAACTATAGTTTAATTTACATAATTACTATAAATAGAGCTTTTACCAGGATGGTAGTGGACTGACATGCTTTAATTTAAAAATTAGCTAGATAGCCTGGTGTACACAGCGAAAGTCACTCAGCACACAAAAATTCTTCTTCTTTGTGTGGTGTAGATGAAGCTATTCCTTAATATTTATCTGGTCTGTGATAGATGGCACTGGTAGAAAAGCTATGAGAGTGAATCTCCACCATGACAGTACTCAACAGACAGAAGGAAAATAAAGTATATATTATTCACAAACTAATAGCTAAACAGTACAAGTATCTATGCAGTGCATTCCTTATTCTGCTCTGCTGAAATCAAGGTGAGTTTTACTATTGGCTTAAGGAAAAGTAACACTTTTTCCCTTGAAGCACTCAGCACCATGAAGGATATAGTCCTTTCAGTTCTGCACGGAAAATTCAGTATCAGCTATTTATGCAACAGAAACAGTATGAATGCCATGAACAATGAAATATTTTATGCTGAATCAGTCATAACTTCTCTGAAAGCTTCTTGCTGCTTTCCACTGGTCATTATGTGGAGAGATTCCAACTCTTTCATTCCACTCTGTCGCTGCATCCTTGCCAACAACAATCTTGTCTCAGTAACTGTCCTAAGTCCCTCCCAGTCTCAGCCTGTTCAGTGATAACAGACTGTGACTCCAGCAGGTTGGGGCAAGCAAGGAGAGTTCAGCTGTTTGGGCAGCATTTGTTGGATGCTGATAACCAACCCATAGGTGGATAAGTTGATACCACAGTTGGATATAATACACGAGCCACCTGCGTAACTGTGATCCTGTGTCATGATTAATTACCTCATGCTTTCTGTACCAACAATGTTTGTCCATTCTTTTAATTGCAAAAATTATTTTAAAGCAGCTTTCAATCTTCAGAGGGCAGACAGGCTTTCTAGAAAGATTTCTGAAAGCCTTTGAACAGACTAGAAACATATCATGAGGCTTTCACTCCACAGGAGAATTTGCTCCCAGTACATCAAAGTACAGCATTCACAGTGAAGAAAGCAGAGTGATAGAAGATGGTGGCATTTTGCCACCAGCAGGGCAATTATCAAATATGACGCATTTCAGCTGAACGTGCATTTTATATCAGTTTGTTACAGCCCGTCTTTAATGCTTCCAGAGCCACACTTTCTGAATATGTACTCTAAAAGGTAGGCAGTACTTTTTCTCCTCTTTCATATGTATGAATACGTTGGTTTTGGCTTTCTGGGTTCTGTGTTACAGATTACATTTAGCATATGGAAAGCTTTTAAATCAGTATTACATAATATTGAATATGTTTATTAAAACATGACCTTACTCTTCCTTGCATTTGTATGTGTATGCATGTGTGTTTTCTTGCACCACACTGCAGCTAGATCCTTTGTAACTTAAAGCTAAATCTAACACCATCATTCACTGCGGCAGCAAGATACTTTCCCCTAGAGTAGGATACAATGATGATGACATAATGCTGTGGTTTCCAAATCCCAAACCAGCTGTTACTGGTATATGCATTCAAATTCACTGTCTCTGTGTACGTGTGAGAGGCAGAAAAGCTTGTGACTTGATTCAGTAAATGATTTATTATTTTGAATGTATAATTCAGGGACATAGCTTACGCATGGCTTCAGCCACAGAGTGAGAAAAAGTAATTTAGGCAGTTTCCTACAGTAATAAAACAGAGAAAGGATACAATCCATCTGCACAGACCCAGTAGGTATTTTCCACCAACTAGTATGGGATCTGCTTATTGATTTTTGACTGAGGGAACAACTAAAAGCTGCTAATTTTTAAACTTTTTTTTTCTTTCTGACAGACACTCATACTAATTCCTTTATGTGCTATAAATAAACACAGCTGGGCATCAATCCCCTAACCCAAACTGCACCAAGAAACAGAGTACCTATTCAAGTATTACTGGTAATATTGTGTTGTAACTCTTAGTTGCATAAGGGTGGCAATAAAACTGCTGCCATGCTTATGGATACTGCAAGAAACTAAGATTTGCCTGTGCTTGCTGTTCTTGAATATTTGAAAATATTAGATCAATAAATGAAGGTCAGCTTTAAAGTCATTTCTCAACAGCAAGTCTAAAAAAGGAATACCACAGAAGCAACTTGAGACCTATGAGAAAGCTTTTTCTACTACAGTAAGTTGCTTTGATGGAGTACAAAATCCAACTCTGCATAAATCACTCATTTGCAAGGCAGAGTCTGGGTACATCAGTTGACAGTCTTACTTTAAATCCAGACTAAATCAGACCTCTGAAACTCTTAACTTAATCCCTGCCCTTTGTACTACGTCATCATGGCAATTTGTTTCCAGAGTTACAATATTTATTTACTAAAAGTAAAGCCAATGTGAACAACTGCCCTGAATTTTAGCAGGAAAAATGCATCCCTAGTGTAATTCCATTATCTGAGTGGTCTTGCGTCAGGGATGAATTTAGCCTATTAAGTTTTGGCACAACACTATCAGTGACAGCAATATCTGCTCAAGACATATTATCTTAATTTGTAGAATGACATTGGATCTACTGCGCTTGTAATCAATCATTTCTTTGTATGCATCTTTTTAAATGTACAGGCAGACAGAGAAATAAAGAGCTGAACTGTAGCGTAAGTTGTCCAAATATTCCAAAATTCAAGGATTTTTCACGGAAAATTAAGGGATACTTGGTCAGAGTTATAATGAATTCCTTAAAGAAGAGGTGCAATCATGCACTGAATGTGAATCATCATCCACTGGATTTAATTGTAGCCAAGTAATTGATAATCTATCCATACAGTTACAGTTGTATCAATCAAGCATGAATCTGCAACGTCCCCTATCAAACAAGCCAGAAGTCATGAAAGATGACTGCCAGTCCTATCTCTGTGACAGTCTAATTAATTATTAAGCTGAAAAATTGCCCTAATGTAAACAAAAACTTTTCAGGCTAACCCAGACCAGGAATACTTCAGAAAAAGGAAAGGGTTGTGCAGAGCTTATGCAGATAAGCTCTTTTTCTGTGGCTCTGCTTGTTTACATAGAAAGGCTATCAACAGTTAATATAAAAGCTTGTAAAAGCCAGGAGAGGTGTTTGAGAAAACAAAACAAAACAAACAGCCAAAACCAGGCTGTTCCAAATCCCAAAATTCAGGAAATTATAACAATTTTACAAAATCTGCATAGCCACAGACTCTAAAATGGATCTAGGAAAAAGTGCTTGAAAAACTGCTCCTGTGCCAAGATGTAACACTTTCCACAGATGGAACGAGTTTTACTTGGCAGAAGACCATAGCAGTAGGTCCCATCTATTATAGCTACTTACAGATGACTGATGAAAGGTACTGAAGTGCTGGATTAATTTTTGGAAAATGCAGGTACCTGATCCACCTCGATATAACTGAGCAAAACACTAATCTTCCCCTGACATAAACCCATTGAAATCAAGTGCGCTTCACGAGTGTGAAAGTGGAATAATCCTCTAAATACATACCTGATAAATAACCTTTCCTTCATTAGGTGGAAGTATTAAAGTGGTATGGAATCCAACATTTGCTATAATGAATGATCAATCATTTAGAAGCACAGCTTTAACATTTTGAATTAACAAGTCTGAAACGGGACTCACAAGAGCAAGTGAGAATATAATTATCACTGTTGGTAGAGTAAGAACATAGCATTAATAACACTGTTGCATAAAGTATGTACTCTCACCCAGATAGGAAACTCCTTCTTCGGGTGTGATGGTTCCGTATTTAACCATCATCTTCACAAAATCAATCAGCGTTTTCATGATAGTTATCAAGGTCTCCTTCTCTTTTGCCTCCGTCTCTGTGTGAGGGGATAAAGCAAAACAGTCAAAGACTTCAGGCAACTTGGAAAAACTCAGTTCTGCAAACTCTGCACAAATTTTGTGCATAAAAAATGACCTACTCACTAAAAAGAAAAAGCTGTGCTGGATTAGTAAAGAGAACTCCTATACATGTTTCCATTTAAACTGCTCCTGCAAAGTACAGATGAATATACTTTTAACACTTCAGGGTTTGGTTTTTCTTTACAGCTTTTTGTCTTGAAGGTCTATGTTATGGAAGGTAAATGGTATTAACCCCATTTTGCAGGTAAGAACACTGAACACAGGGAGATGAACTGACTTCACACGTACAAATTGCTGATCAGAGGGCAGATACACGCAAAGTTTTCTACAGTCTCTATCTTTTATTTGTCTGTGAACTACTTAGTAGACCAGTCTGTCTCTGTATGAGGAAGATACAGTTCAGAGATCCTTTCTCCTACAAGATCCATGGGTTCAATGACAAAAATACAAAGTGTCTCAAATGAGACTTACTGTGCACAAGACCATGGCTCAAGTACTGGGAAAACATAATATGACATGGCTGGGAGGATCATGACTCCAGAATAGGATACGAACAATGATTTTTCATTATAAAAATCCATCTTTGTATGACATGGCTGGGAGGATCATGACTCCAGATTTTTCATTATAAAAATCCATCTTTCTTGCCCATATGTATCTCTGACTATCTTCACAATCACTGCTGTGTAGCTTTCTTTTTCTACTGTGTTTATCTGCTATTTCTGCATTAGCAGCATGAAACTCCCCCATCACACAGTTACACAAGCTCTTCCCACACCCCACAGGTCACTAGAGGACCCACAGAGCTGGGGCACTGTCAGACAGGGACAGTCAGAAACATACTCCCAGCCTTGCAGAGGGCCAGTCCCTTTGGAGAGCTGCTGAACAGGTTTTTTATTGCTACCTACTACTTAACACACATCTGTAGGATGCAATTGAATGCCCTCTCCTCCAGCTTGATACAAGCCAGCAGGAGAACAGCATAAAGCAGGAGACAAGGCATAGATGTGTAACCAGTTTTAGTTCTATTTGCTTGATAACCTGTTAAACCCAACATGCCCTTCTGCTTTGTGAGTAGAAAAAGGAGAACTAGTATGCAAAACTACCACGGGAAAATGAATAGAACGGGAAGAAGAATATGAAGTTTGTAGATTGGACTTGAGCAAAATATGCCCTCAGGTTTTTCATTCTAGCTCTCCACTCAGGTGTTTATGGGGTCAGTTGGAAGCAAGATAAAGGCTCCTGCAGGACAAGGAATCTACAGAATAAATTGTTGCTGACTGTGCCAGAGAGAGCAGAAGATATGCTGGCTGCATAGAGTGAGAGTGGGTGTGTGGTAGAACGTGCTGACAAAGTGGCTGTGGCAAGGTGCCACAACCTTGTCTGCAATAACTGGAAGGCAATGATGTCTAGCACCGGAATAGGAAGAGACGTGCAGAGCTTTCACTGCAATAAACAGCAAACCTGTGGTTTGTGAAAAGGCTGGGAGGTTCAGACTCATTTACTGGTACCATCAGTGTGAGCATTCTGCTGTGTCTTACTCATATCTCTGTTGGCTTGGAAGACACAGATGTTACTGGAAAGATCTTTGGAGAAAACAATTTGCCAGTTTTTCATCATGCCCTTATGGGAATTAAAATAATTAAGGACTCCTGAATGATATAGCACAAGGTGGGAATGGCTACCGAGGTCACACAGTTTGCAGTTCTGAGTGCTGTTCCTCCCAGTGTTTTGCCATACTGACTAATCACATTAGTTTCTGCTGTGCATCTTAAAGAACATTTCTAAAGCGCATGGTCTCTTGCAACTACGGAAGCTGTGGGGAAAGGAAGAGAAAGGAGCAGGAGAAAACAGACAGAATCTTAATTTTCTATTTTTAACCCTAAGTATTATTGCAAACACATCATAAGCTCACCTGAATTAAGACTTTTTAATAGTGCATAAAAGTTTGGAAAATATTGGAGGTCTTCAAAATTATCTTCGGAAGGCAGCTCATTTCTTCTTTCCAAGATATTAGATGATGACCATGTGTTATCCAGTGTATCATCAATTTCTCCATTAATGAAACTATCCTGATCAGCTTTGCTTGGTGTCTCCACAAAAGACATAAAAAAATAATATACGTAAGCACATTGCTTTTGGTGATAGAGTTGATAGAGCAATAAATAGCAGCACAAGCTTATGTCAATATTTTCCTAATGACGAGGTGAAGACTATACTATTTTCTCAAAGTTATTTCAATTTGGCATCTGGCTTAAACCTCAGTAACTCACGATCCATTTTGCTGTCTGATGGAATTCTTCAAGAACACCTTTAGTTTCCAGCTTGAATAATTATTCCCTAAAGCAAAGCAGTGTATTGGTCCACTTGTACCATTTGGCAAGTGAGTCAAAATGATTAGCTAAGAAATTACCATTCTTTCCTGCTGCTTTTCTTTTGTATCACTGTCTGCTCTGCTTGGAGGGTAATCAAAATCTTCAGACTCCTTCTCACGATCCTTTGCTTCATTTGCAATTAGCTGTTGTAAAACCTCTGCCACTTCATCTTCCAGGGTATAGGCCTGACTCTCTGTGATCTGTTAAAATATTTGTGCAGAGTACTTAGAGAATTTTATGTTTTTCTTAGATTAAACATCAATATGAAACCTGAACTTTGTAAATAGGTTGCTTCAAATATGTCTGCTTCAAAGCTGAGCACAGCCAAGTTAGGTGCAATACCTTTCCTGATGTGTGTGTGTGTGTATACATGTATACATATTGACATATATCCATGTCTATATTTATATAAATGTACATATACGCACATACAAACACAAAAACGTGTGTATACATAAAATTGCAAAATCTATTGCAGAAAAGATAAGGTTAGTATTTTAAAATATAGGGATCCCATATCGCAATGGCTAAAACCATTGAGACATACAGAGGTCAGAGACAAACCCAGTCTTGACAAGTACCAGTAACAATAAGAAATGTATCCACAACTAACCAGCATCATTATATGTCTGCTGATGACAATAATTAGCAGGTGGATAGGAATGAGCTCAGACAGTTCTCCACAAACATCCACAAGAAACTGATAATGCAAAATAACTCAATGAGAATCAAAAGAGAAACTAAAGGAAAAATGAGGGCAGACCTGGGAGGAGTACTCAGTACAGTGAATGTTTTCTCCACATCAGAAACATTCTGCAGTTTGGTCTATTTTATTGCAAAGCCATCACAGGAACAACTTTATTGCAGAACTAAACCAACGTGCTCAAATGAGCCAAACAGCTTGCCTAGAGCCTGAATTCCATTCATTTTCACTCAGGTCAGCATTATTAGCCAGACACAGTGTTAATCCAAATTGTTTTTAAAGGAGCATTAAACCAACCCACAAAACAGCTAAATGAAGTATTAACAAGATACTTACTAGCCCCAGATTTAGAAGTTTTGAAACAATCTTGTCAAACACTCCTCTATCATTTTCCTCATAAATTCTTGCAGCAATTTTTTGAACAATGTCTTCAGCAGTCAAAGGAGTGCCATCTAATTGATGGAGGCCATCTGGATCATCTAAAAGGATTACAGTTTAACTCTTTGATGACTGTCCTAAATCATTTGGATTAGACATCTTGTAAAAAAATACCTGTCCACATCTTTTTCTCCTCAGAGCAAAGCCACACTTTTTAGACACATTAGGAATATACTGTGATACACACTTTGGAATCCATTACATCAGTCCAAATGAAAAGTTCTTCATGTCCATTTTCCACATCTGAAATACACCTTTCTGACTGGCTCTTTTGAAAGAGCAAGATGGTCAGGAGTATACTCTCCTGATCATAGAAACAGCAGAGTGTGTTGTAAAAATGAGAACACTGCTCACATATCCCTTTATATGCACCTTCCCGGTATCTACTTTTATTGTATGGCCACTTGGATCAAAACAGATCATGACAAACAGCATACTCTCTTCTTGTTTGGATTTCAGCAAATGAAGCTTTAATTCTGTAACCATTACTTATAGCAAATAATATCATGACCAATGGGAAAGTGAATTTGATGAGTGACCTTTGGTCTGTAATCAGCATACTTGGATATAATTAAAAATATCCTGAGCTAAATGCTCCTTACAACTCACAGAGAACTCACTTAAACTACAAGTCAATTAACTATTCCTACAGTAAAGGCAAGTATTCTTTGGTCTTTGGTAACTTCTTTGTGATGAGGAAAATTAGATACCTAACATTGCACATAACATTTGGAATAAATATATGTGATTTAGCTCTCTATAAAAGTGCTTATTCCTTTCAAACCAGAATACATATATTTTCATTTAAAAATACGTCCCATTTTCCTTACATCAAATCTAAATTGCTAAAAAACATAATGTAACTTATACAGTTGGATCTTCCTCCACAAAAGACGACTGTGAAAATCAATACCAATTCTTTTGTATTGTGTTTCGAAATGTAATTGTAATAGGACAAGCTTCTACAACTGGAAATAATTGAAATTGCACCCCAGTAACAAATGGAGCTCACGTTTAGTGATGAGTACGACATGCATGACTGCAATGAGTTTGCAAGAGAAGTCTAACCTAAAAGTCACTGAAAGATGATTATAGAATACCTTGGAATTTATAATCCAGTCCACTTTTAGTGGAGTCATAGTCATCCACAAGCCTGCGGTTCTTGGTGGAGTCTGCATCATCAATGGCCAGTTGCTGTTCATACAAAGAGCTTCTAATGGACTCCCTCTCCCTTTCATTACGCTCTCTTTCTGCTACTGATTTTAGCAGGTTCAGGTCATCAACAAAGGAATAATTCCTGAACTCTGGCTTATTTTCTGGAAAATATATCAATGCACACATGACATAAAATCTTATACCTCTTTGAATACCGTTATGAATATTGACATAAAACCAGAAAAGATGTTTTACCTGTGGGAGCTATTTTCCTATTCTTGTCTGCCTCAGCTTCAGCAATCTGATATATAAAAATAAAAGAAACAAACAAAACAACAAACAGGCAGAAGGAATAAATATACTAAAACGTGGGATCTCTTAATTTATCAATATCAGCAGAAGCCCTAATGTCTGATCTTCACTCCTAGTAAGAAGTTTGCCTTAATAAGTACCACCACATCCTCTGATAAGAATCAGACATGAGGAGAAGCTGCAGTAGACTTTCCATTTTAAGATAAATGCCAGTTACATTTTCCTTCTTCAGTCCAAGCTCCTGCTATATTCCTGTAGGATGTCAATACAAAGGGGTGACACAACTGTGAGCTGTTGGAGCTAAAGCTTCCTGCTTTTGGAATGCTGGACAGTAAAACTCTGTATGCCAGTTCTTAAAAATTATTGAAACTTTATTTGTACCCAATCCCAGCAATATTTACTTACTGACAAATCTATTTTTAACTAATTTGTTAAGTCATTAGGTTATTCATGGATCTGCTACTTGAAGGCTCAAAATATTATGGGAATACCAAAACCAAAAAATGTAAATATATTTCACTTACCTGTTCCTCCAAAGGTCTTTCTACACTTAATTGTCTATTGTATACAGCTTTATCTAGAATAAGCAAACACACACACATATACTCAGTTACATGATGCATACGACTACAAAGAGTCAGTACATTTTTTCTTAATTGATAGTTTCTTCCCATAAAACATAGTGTCTTAAATATGATGCCAACTGATGGTTTTTGTAAAAAACAAACCCAGTGTTCCTAGAAGAATGAGAATACAATAATATGGTGTCAAGCATTAAACAAAGCATGATTGGGGTAGAGGGAGAAGTTCTGCAAAAGATGTAATAGAAATGCAGAGGTAGTCTCAATAACCCTTTTCTGATGAGAAAACTCACAAACAAATTGGGGAAAAAATGCTGTAGGAGATTGACTAAAATAGCAATAATCGGATTGGCACAACCAAGAGATTAAAAATCTCTTACATCCAGAATACCAGGGGAGACAGGGAGCAAGAAAGAGACTTGTGCAGAAAGAGATGCAGAATGGAGAACATTGCTTGGAAAAGACTGAAAAAATTCAGAGCTTTTCCCTCTACCAGCATCTACCTCTTCACTTTAGAATTAGGTGGCAACTTCAGTGATCCGGCGTCTTGCACCAGGAATACCGTTTCTTTGGGATCTAATTGCTTTTAGCCAAGTGGAAGGAAAGTTTTTACTTGATCCATCCCCTGTGAAACTTTCCCCATCTCGGAGAAAGCGCAGAAAACGCGTTCGCCAAGGCGCCTACCTCTGCCCGGGGGTTTCGGGAAGCCGTGCACCCGGCTCGCCA